AAAACTAAGTATATGTTGCTGTCTCGTCACCAAAATGCAGGGCAAAATCATGATAGTATAAAGATAGGAAACATGTTTTGAAAATGTGGCACAATTTAGATATTTGGGAGCAATGATAACAGATCGAAACCTGATTCAGGAGGACATTAAGAGGCGATTGAACTCAGNGAGGTTGGAGAAAACTGCATGAGGAGCTTCATAACTTGTACTCTTCTCCAAGTATAATTAGAATGATCAAGTCAAGGAGGATGAGGTGGGCAGAGCATGTAACACGAATGGGGGTAAAGAGGAATGCTTATAGGATATTGGTGGGAAAGCCAGAAGGAAAGAGACCACTGAGAAAACCAAGGCGTAGGTGGATGGACAATATTAAAATGGATCTTAGAGAGATAGAATGGGATGGTATGGATTGGATTGGTCTGGCTCAGGATAGGGACAAGTGGAGGGCTCTGATGAACACGGTAATGAACTTTTGGGTTCTATAAAATGCTGGGAAATTCTTGAGTACCTGCAGAATTGGCGGCTCCTCCAGAATGGCTCAGCTCCCTGAGTAAGTAAGTAATCTCTTCAAAGTTGAATAACCATTCAAAGGAACATTCATCCCCCCATTCTCAGGGTTGAAGAGAAAGCCAATCAAGGAATCAAGCAGAGCTGCACTGAACTACACCTACATAATATTCTATCCCAGAAAGGCCGTGCCATAGCTCAAGTGCTTAGTCGCTGGCTTCCCACCGCGGTGATCAGGGTTCGATCCCGGGTCTGGTCAAGTGGGTTTTGTGGTGGAAAAAGTGGCGCTGGGGCGGGTTTTCTCCGAGTACTTCGGTTTCCCCTGCCAATCTTCATTCCACCAAATTCTCCATCATCATAATCATCCGGGGCAGGCTACAATAGGCCAATCAGTGGCCGCCGTGCCGAGTGGACCCAATTGGACTCCACCCCCCACTAAGCGAATTTAAAAAAAAAAATTATCCCAGAAAATGGAAACCCTTTAAAGTGTAACGATTTAATTCCAGAAGGTTTCAGTGAATGAATATACAACTGAGACAGGAAACCAATAAACTGCTTAATTCTTCAGATATTTGGTGACGCATTTCGACAGAATGATGTATAGTGTTGTGTAATAGAAAGATTAGGTGTGACAAATAGGAAGGGATGTAGAAGTATCCATGACCTAAATTAGGATACGTGGAGTAAGTGGAGAAAATCAGAAAGCCAAAATCTGAGTGGACCCACCCATTTCCAAATTGACAAGAAGTTTCTACGAGTAGTTGCATGAGAGAAATTTCATACATTGCGATGAGAAGAAAGTGTCACAAATACCAGAATAATGTTTTCTTGTAGACTATACTCAGTGCTTTTCTCTTCCTGTGCTTTGTATATTTTCATTTTACTGCTGAAAATGAGTGTGATAGTACCAGCAAATATCTTTTCTCGGGGAGATGTGTGAGGTACTGGCTATAGCGAAAAATATCTGAGAGAAAATCGCTATCGTCTCTGAGAGTTATGTAGATTTCATTCGGCACCCATGATCTTCTCGAGGCAGACCACCAAATAGCACGCCTGTAAACTCTATTTACGTTAAAAACCTCATTTGAATTCTTGTGGGGCCTTGGAAATTCTGGCTTTTCCCGTCTCTATGGCATTTCATACACATTTGGCGTAAAAAGGAAACGTTCTCCCTGTGCTTAGTTAAGTACCATAGCATGAAGTGAAGGAGTGGAGGCATAACTCCATGCATTCTTAACCATTGTCAACTTTTCGCCCTGGCCTGCTTACTCCGGCGCCAATTGGATAGGCTAGGTGAACCTCAGAACCGGTTATAACGCTGGACAAGGGAGAAATCTCCTACCCCTGCCGAGAATCCAGCTCTAGTTTCTCAGTTGTCCAGTCCCTGGCGTAGATTCTATACCGACTGAGCTAATCCGACTCTTCGCTCTTGCGATATATTCTGGTTTATTATTGTAACCTTTCCTTGAATCCTTCCACCGATAAACATTAATACTTGAAGTTTAACAGGTTAACAGGTGTAATATCTCGGGAAACCAGACGCGTCAATTCAGATCCGAAATGCAGCATTTCAGGGACCTCTGTCTGCATCAACAATCTCCCCGAAACGTTGGAGGCAATCTATCGACCAGGAATATGTTATCACAGCAAATATTAAGTTACGATTTGTGCTTACTTCCGCCAGTAACATCGTTTGAAAATTAATATTTTCTTGTGTATTTGGTAATATTCATGTATCCCCAGACGTCAGTACACCGCCCAACGAACAGGATTTCTTTAGTCTCTTGGATTGGGGTGAGACGAGTGCACTTGGTAAGTCGGCCACTAACTGGCCTATTGTACCAGCGCCTGGTAATGTGTGATGATGAATTTGGAGCAGTTGGTTGAATGAGAATTAGCTGGAGGAACTATTAAGTACTCGGAGAAAATCTGCCCCAGTGCCACTTTGTCTACTGCAAATCCCATATGTCCTGACCTAGGATCGAAGTCAGACCGCCGCTGCTGGAACAGGATTTCCTTTCTGAAGAACACAGCGGTATGCTTAACACTACAGTCTTGTAAATTTACACATATAAAATATAAGCCCGGAGTTGTATTTGATCTTTAATTTATATCAGAATGAATTTTGAAATGCCAAGCATGATCGTGAGCCCTTTGAGAGTTCTTCAAGATTACGTATAAAGTTGTTTTTTATTAACAGTGAAACTAAATATTAATTTAAATCGCGAGTCCCCCAGATGAAATTAATTATGCATTTTGTTGTACTTGCGACATAGTTTGAATGTAAATAGATTTATCGTTTCCTACAAAGTTATGCAATAGTTCACGCCTAGTGATTCCCTTTCTTGAACAAAAGATACCACCCAAACTGTACACTTGATGTAATGCATGTTGCGGTATGATGGCCTGGGTGGAGCACACCATGCTTCATCCTGTTTCGTTTCACTCACTTAGTAACAGGTATTTTCGCCGAAAACGACGCTCAAAATATAAGACAACATGAAGACAACTCCGAAGTTCCTTTCCTCCACCAGATATTGAACTTTTCTGCTTTCGTTACTGTGTCAATCGATTTTTTAAATAAAATGAGAGACCTGGGGGTTACCAGGTTTGATATCGACTGGGGAACCGATTATGCTGACTGAGATCTTTCTTGATTTTCTCGGTACAAATGAACTTCGGGATGGTGGCTATAGCAACTTCATTTACCCCATTCATCGTTCATATTCTTAACAACTCCGACTCCGTGGGCTGTAGTCCGCAAGCGAACTATACCGACCGAGCGATCGCCGCTTGTCGGCGAAGTTAGTGCCAACTTTAGCGGATAGAGGGTGTCGCGTGGTCAGCGCAACAGATCCCCACGGCCGTTAATATCGGTTTTCTAGACCGGAGATCAACTCCGGCAGTAAATAGAATTAACAGTTTATTTAGCAAGATTTTGGTACATATAATTGCATGTCATTTTATAACATATTTCAGTGCTGCTGTACCAACTTCACAGGTTCTATAGCGCCAAATGAGAGATTTGTGACAGTTATGAGTGGTGAAGATCTCGATGGTGAATTTACTGTTACGTCCCACCACTGTCCTTAAGAATAATTTCAGTTCATATTTTTCTATATCTCATGTATCCATAATATGAGTGAAAATTTACAAGGCTAAGTAGGAGTATGGAACTAGATCTGAAGAATCGCCACTGTTTCGTATAATTCATAGAGGTTATTCGTTTGCTCAATTAATTAAGCACAACGCCATGATGGCATGGGGGAGAGGAGGCGTGGCTCCTAAAATCCAGAAATGACCTAAACATTCCAGTATTGTTATGCTAAATAACTGCATGATAACTAAAATTCTTTAAAAGTCAAGCAACTACAATACATATACAGTAACACGTTCTGTTTATACACGTTTTTAAGATTGAAATTAGCATGCATGTACTGTACTGTAGTCTATCTGAAGCATCCCATGTGTATGTTTCGACTGAAAGCACCTTTATATATCCCCATGGAAATTATTATACAAGAATGGTGTCCAACTAAATAAGACTGATACATCACATTATTACCTCAGAGAAGAGTAAAGAACATGCTGTATAATTTTTACACAGTAGGCTTTATGATACTGTTAAGCCTAAGACATGCTGGAAATCCCTGATTCTATCCTCAGCATTGTATACGTCATTGTTGTTAGAAGTAGTTACGGAATTGACCACCAGGCGGAAGTGAGAGAGATACCTATGCTTCAGTCGACTTCACAGTTCGGATCTTTGCTGAAAACAAATTCCTATTTTTGATATTTTGTATATGCAGTGAAAACATGATTTGATGTGTATAAGAGTAGATCAGTGGAGAAGGTATCAGAGAAAACTAGATAGAGATGGACGAAATTTATGCATATTTGTTGCCTTTGAGATCATTAATAATAATTGCCGGATGCCTATTAATAAAAGGGAAGGTAGCTAAATGCACATAGGAAGAACACGAAGTGTATAGTAGAAATGTCGAAATAACAGTTATTACTAAAGAGTATGCAGTGTCCGTGTTTAATTTGTTCCTGGAGGCCAAACCATTTAACCGACTATTACAATCGTGACAAGGAAATATAATTGTGTTGTTTAATGATGAACTAGATAATGTTCCTTATAACATTGTGTTGCCAATCGAAGGAAAATAAAAGTTAGATATTTCTGACAAGGTTTGTTTCCTACAAAAAAGTTTTGCCAAAAACGTTTCATTTTTGTAGGAACAGCATACTATTATTCTGCCAGGTTTAGTGTATTGGTACACATGTTGATGTTGTCTTATCAGAACTTTTTAAATTATTGACATTAGGCGTTTTTTGTTAAATGAGTTGTGAATAATTTCCCGTTGAAATCCCAACGGACTTTATGCCAGGTCTTAAGTAATATTTTGTTTCCTTGGCCTGCTAATCTTGTGTTGTTCTGACTCGCGTAGTACGTCGCGCTAGCAGACGATACTTGCAGTGCTGTCCAGCAGAGCAGACGACAGTTGCGCAGTACGACAGAAGGGATGTAGGAAAATGGTTGGGCTGGCGTTAATATGCTGGACAGCTGTTGTCTGCATATCGAGGTTCAGTATAACTGTTCGATATGAGTGAATAATGTGCGTGTGTAAATATTTTAACATAACTTAGTTTTACGCTTCACGTATGTGGTAACCGGCATGAACTCACCCAAGCTCAGCGACAAAGTTCCACGAGCTCAGGGGAAAAGAACAAAACAGCAGCAACAACCAACCCAACAAATCGAACATAGCGAAGAAGAAGTGGAATTATCACCGGTGAGTTCAAAACACATGGACATTAAGGAAATAAATGTAGTTCATTGTAAAATGTGTATTCGGTATAAATAGCATTCTCCTTGTCAAGGTTGTGATTCATTTCCCAGTCGGTCCTTTTTAAAACGTGTTCTCTCGTTGATATGTTAACAACATTGTTATCAAGCAATACAGATTGTTATCCAGTTGTCATTTTAATGCCAGGTTTGATTTTAAAATAAGCCGATTTATTGAGACGTTCGGTGTGATTGTTTCCCAGGACCGCGGATGGGTTACAAAATGTACAGTGTTTCCCTACTGTGATTATTCCTACGTAGATTGTCTGTGGAGAATGCAGTACCAGGAACCATAAATAGCACGGCGCAAGGTAAAGGTTTACGTCTTAGATCATGTAATGGGGAAAATGGGAACGTTGCCTACATCCTGGAGTGGGGCATTTTTTACCTGTGTTGGCGATTTACCTCAACACACAGAAGTGGACTTGTCTTACACTTCCATTATAGGGTGTTCGAAATTTATTATCTTTTAAGGCTTCATTGTGGTAGGGTCACTACATTTCGTAGATAACACACCTAACTTCATTTCAACATACCATGTAGTCGTCCTTGTTCCTGGATATTGTTACTGGTATGTTGGAAAAGAATTGGCTGTAGTGTACTTTGAAATTACTTCTCGTAGAGAACAGAAGAAAGTTGCGAGTGTCGCTGTTGGTTAACTTCAGGAGATTAGTCTTTCTTGAGAAGCCACCAGTTGCAGAGCTGCTCGCAAATTTTCCAACATTTTATGGAACCCGAAAGTTCATTACCATGTTCATCAGAGCCCTCCACTAGTCCCTATCCTGAACCAGATCAATCCAGTCCATGCCACCCCATCCTAAGATCCATTTCCGCTGTTAACTAACTTCATGGACCTGAGCCCTTCTTGAGAAGCTACCAGTTGTGCAGCTACTGAAGAACCCATTGCCGCTCTTAGTTACGGCAAATGTTCATCGTTACAGAGAATACATGTCGGATCAGGTTGACGTATTTATTTATGTATTGTTTACGTAACGAATCCAACAGTAACGCGAACTAGACAGCGTCGATTTATGGCATGATTTAATTAATAATAAATTAGAAATGAAGTGGAAATGCAATAAATTGCGATTCACACAAAGCAACAAACCCACAAAAAGAGGAAAATTAAATGAAGAAATAAACAAATAAAAAATATAAGTAGACAAAAATAACACTGTTTTTATGAGCCTCTGTTGAATGGGTGGGTAAGTTCTTTGTTTTATTGTGTGAATCGTATTTTCTTCATTAATTATTCTTGATTTTCCGTTCTTGTTGCATTTGGCTTCTGATTTGAGTTAACTATCCTGAATGGCGTGAGGAAAACCACGAAAATCTCAGTGAGGATAGTCGGTCACCCGGCAAAGATTCGATTCGACCGCCCACCGAAAATAAGCCGAAACTCAAGGTCTTGAGCCAACTTGCTCGGTAATTATAGACCCCGTACATACTGTACGTTTAAAATCACATCAAGTCCACCTATGAGTCTCATATGTGATACCTTTATATGCAGACAGGTTTTACTATTAGATCCATAAATAACAGTCTGCTAGTTCACATAAACGATCAGGTTATCACACTTTTATTAGTTTACGTGCAGTAAATGATTTTGGCAGAAGATTAAGAATTTATTTAGAACATACAACTTATATAACTAAGGCAATAATATTTTCGTACATTTTTTTGTCCATCCTTATTACATGTCCAAGTTATTTGATGAATTTTGCACTTTGTGTAAACACACATGGACCAAGGTAGTGGTTACTTACTGATGCACTGGGGAAGACCACCAACAGAGAGATGATCGTAATTCTGTTTACTTCTGTTGAGACTTACATAACCTCAGACCGAGCTCTGTCGCTTGCGTCCTAGGCGTATGGTTCTGAGACATGGGAATAACTTCTATTTTATATAATTGAAGGTCCACATAATTTTGATGCGTGACTTGTAGAAATAAACAAGCTAATTTGATTGCGGCTAAATAAATAAAGCTTTTCCCATGCTTAATTAAGCTCCAAACCTTGAAGGCATGGGGCGTAGACATAAAACTCCACGCATTCTTAACCACGGTGTGGATGGAGGCGAGTGGTTAGTAGAAATATCTCGAAGATGCGAAAATTCTACAGTGTAAAATCACTCCTTTAATTTTACTTAGGAGTTGTATACTAATTTTATTAAAATAAGTTCGATTGCTTAGAATGTGGTTTAACCATAGCAACTTGTTCAGTGCCCATGAGATTGTTAGTAAATTTGGTGCTAATGGTAGAATGAATAGCAAAAGAAAAAAAGAACGTCGAAAATTGCCGCTGTTTTCACGCGCCAAATATGCGGACCTCCCGGTTTACTTGATAGGTTGATTGAATTTGGGATTCTAACCTTGAATACGCGAAGAAAACTGAAGTCTCATTAATATTATATGCAGATTGTTCACGAGAAGGAAGGCATGAAGATTTTGTGAGACGATGCATTCAGCGTTTGTGTCTCATCGAACCAACTAATTTTAATGATTGGCCTATACCTTCTGATTAGGGCATGCCACTGGAGGTTATTTTGACACAGTATTTCGCAGACACCTCACTTCTATACCCGTATAATTAATTATTTTTTAATTCGCTTAGTGGGGAATGGAGTCCAGTTGGGTCCACTCGGCACGGCGGCCACTGATTGGCCTATTGTATACGTGCCCCAGGTGATTATGATGATGAAGAATTTCGTGGAATGAAATTGGTAGTGGAAACTGATGTACTCGGCGAAAACCTACCCCAGCACCACTTTGTCCACCACAAATCCCACTTGATCAGCCCCGGGTTTCAACCCGGGCCGCCGCGGTGGGAAGCCAGCGACTAGCGGCTTGAGCTGTGGCGCAGCCTTACCTGCATAATAGTTGAACAAGTGCTTACATCATAAAATTTTGTGTCCAAGGATAAATGTCTGAACCCCTTCAGTGTTACGAGAGAGCTGTATCACCTTGAAACCGGCCTCTGATTGTCTGATTATGTTCGATGTGTGCCGTGGATATTGCCGCATCCGCTAACATTTAAAATAGTCGTTACAAAATTTCCACGGACGCATTTTATAAGATGCTATTGAAATGTACAAGAAAAATGTCTCAGTATGAATACAGTGAAATACTCACTCACTCACTCACTCACTCACTCACTCACTCACTCACTCCCTCACTCACTCACTCACTCACTCCCTCACTCACTCACTCACTCACTCCCTCACTCACTCACTCACTCACTCCCTCACTCACTCACTCACTCACTCCCTCACTCACTCACTCACTCACTCCCTCACTCACTCACTCACTCATGGAGCTGAGCCCTTTTTGAGAAGTTACCAATTGTGCAGCTACTCAAGAACTTCCTAGCATCTTATGGAACCCGAAGGTTCATTACCGTGTTCACAAGAGCCCTCCAGCCTTCCCTATCCTGAACCAGATTAACCCAATCCATACCATCCTATCCTATCTCTGAAATCCATTTTAATATTGTCCACCCACCTACGCCTTGGTCTTCCCAGTTGTTTTCTTCCTTCCGGGTTTCCCACCAATATCCTACATGCATGTCTCCTCTCCCCCATTCGTGCCACATGCCCTACCCATCTCATCCTCCTTGACTTGATCATTCTAATTATACTTGGAGAAGCGTACAAGTTATGAAGCTCTTTATTAAGAAATACATACTACTTTATTAATGTAATTTTTATCAAAACTTCGGATGAATAGGGCTGCCCTCTCTCAAAATATGTATGATAATTGTGTATCCAGATGTGCTGGTGACAAACGTTCTGAGGTTAATATGATTGAGAACAGAAACCAACCTTTAGCAGTTTGGCTTCCACCCTGTCAAGGTCTAGGCTTGTGTTCTTGGCTGCATCCCTAGAGTAAAAACACAAATATTCTTTGTCTTATCTTTGGCCTACTGGTTGGTAACTGTGTGCTGCCTAATAAATGCCGCCAAAGCCGTAGGTCGTTTTGGTGGAATTTAAAAATAGGACCTTAGTCTAATGTAATATTAGATATACTTCTAATCTCGGTCCAGGAGCCGAGATAGCATAGACTGTATAGCGACGGTCTACGGGCTGGACGACCAAGAGGTCGGAGTTCGAGTCCCGGTAGAATCAAGAATTTTCACTTCTCCATATCGTCCAGACCGACTCTAATGTCCACCCAACCTCCTATCCAATGGGTACCGGGGGTAAAGCGGCCGGGACGTGAAGCTGACCACTCACCTCCAACTAGTGCCGAAGACAAGAAAATGTGGATCTATACATCCACTCCTCAATACGTCTTAATGCGTACTGCTTAATTAGTTAAGCACAAGGAAAGCTTTACCTTTACCTCGGTGTTCTTCAAAATGACGCCGTTTAACTTCTGTGTGACATTTCTTAACGTGATCTAAGATTTGCATGTAACGGTCTTTTTATTTATGTTCTAGAGATATCTTGTTAGAATCTCGACCAAATCACCGGCTGTCACGAGTATTTGCATGGTTTTCCTCATGATTTTGAGACGAATACCGAGATAAATCAAAGCAGTGAAGACCTTCAGTACTTTACACTAGCTCAGTCGGTCAATGAGTTCTCCGACTTTTATGGATTTGAAATTTCATTACCGTGTTCATAGTTTCCCACCAGTGGGCCCTGCACTGAGCAAGACGCAGATACTCCTCACTGTCACACCCCGGTTCCATAAGGTCCAGATTAATATTTAATATATGCTATTTTGACTGCATCGAGAGTTTTCTCGCGTTTTGTGGAACCCGAAAATGTATTGCTCTGCTCATAGAAGCCCACCAATGGGCCCTTTGCCAGTTCCTCGCCCATAGTTTCCATTTCACCGTTCTGTTTATTTCGGACACTATAACCAGCGTGTGTGGTACAGTAAAAGTAAAGGTATCCCTGTAACAGGCCGTGGAGGCCCATAGGGTTGTGAGACGTTGAGGG